TGTTTTGATTTGCTGTATTAAACTCCCTTTCTCGTTTCTGTTAAAAGTAGAGAAAAAGCACTTCATGAAATAGCAAGGTGGGTCTTTGGGGTGCATGTTTTAAGTGTCAGATAGGACTTTACTCTCATCATCTATTTTTGTCTTATCTTTTTAACCAAAAACAGGTAATTTTTTGTGGAAAAAAGTAAGAAGCAAGTACATTTCAGGCATCTGGGCATGTAGAATGAAGGAGATATGAGGGGTGGTTCTGGTGACTACCTGGAATATTGTTGCGCTGCTTGGCAGCGGAAGCAAAGCCACGAGAGGAAACAACCTGCTACTTTACATTAGGAAGGAATTTACATAAGGAAGGTAATTGATGGGATGTTCATAGAGAATTAAATCTTGTTGACTGCACCTAGGTTGCCAGGTGTATATATATATATATATATTTTTTTCTTTTTCCAAAGCTAAGTCCTAGGGCACTCAACTGTTAGTACTGCTGCTTTACTGGATGGGAACTGGTTAGGAACATTTCTATTTACAAATTAAATCTTTTCCCATAATCATTGGAATCCTTGGATAGTTTGAATGCTGCTTTGGTGTTGGTAGAAAGACGATTTTCCAAGCACTAGCTTAAACACGAGGAGTGGGTTACTGTAGGTCTGCACTGTTTTCTGAGGAGAGGAGCAAGGCCCCTTCCAAAGGGAGATACCCAGCACTGGACTTTAGATGTTCTTGGTCTGGAAATTGAAGCAGAGATTTAAGGGATTAATGTCTTGTATGTGGGAATTGTTTGCATGAATAACCTATAGATAACTACCTCTCTTTTGCCTTACCTCATCTCCCACCCCCTCCCCCTGCCCCATATAGTAGATGTCATTTTTTGCTATTAAGTCTGCTTCTGCAGCCGTTCTTGCTTACTGCTGTTTTTCATCATTTTTCTCTGAAGTTCCTATGATTCCTGCCAGGCAGGGATTTCAGTGGTGGGAAATGGATGTAGCCTCTTTTCCATTTAATGTTCTGAGCAGTTTAACTTACCCGAGGTGGGAGGCAGTGAATCACACAGCGACTTTCTTGAGCCTTTTTGTGCATTGTTGACAAGGAAAGTCATGTCTGCTCAAGCCTTCCTTGTGTGGCAGAGGGTTTTGGCGTGTAGCCTGTTACACTTGTAATAATCTATAGCTGTTAAAAGTATTAAGTTGATTGGCCTTTTGTTTGTCCAATTTCCTCTAAAAAAGAGAGAGGGAGTAAACCAAGAAAGGATTCCTCTGTTCCCCAAAGTTATTAGATCTGCTGGCAGAAATATCTGTTCTGAAAGATAAACAAAGAAAGAATTTCTCTGTTCCCTAAAGTTATTAGATCTGCTGGCAGAAATATCTGTTCTGAAAGTGATAACAGTGACTTCATTTCATCTATTTTGAAAGGCAAGTATTTTTCTGGAGTAGTTCATACCACTGAGAGTGAATTGCATAGCACTGCTGGAAGTTTTGGGGGTGGGCTGGGGTGGGGATTACCAAATCGTTGTACAGCTTCCTAAAGGAAAAAAAAATCACTTAATGTCAGTGTACCTTAATGTTTTCTTGTATGATGATTTAAACTGAAAAAGCAGTTATTCATTAGTAATTAAAACTGCCTAAAGGCGTATGCTGTTTGCTAGATAGTCCTTTTCATGGCTATGAACCTGTGTCTGTTGTGACAAATGCTGTGCTTTATTTGGAAAATGGTCCTTAATCTCTCATGCAAAAAGAAAATTGCAAAGAAGAAGCTGGGAGGCTTTGGTAGACTTCTGACTAGCAGCAAAGAGCTAACAGGCACTAGGCGGTGATTACACTTCTAAAAGCATCCAGCATCTGAGCTAAAGAATCTGTATATGTCATTTAGGAATCCATCTCTTAAGCAGTAAAGGGAAAAAGGACACTTCAAAGGCCGAATTAATGTAATATGAAAGTGTAAACCCGTACTGTTCCTCACTGTGATCTGGTCATCTCAGTTGAATGTTATGTGCAAGATCTCCAAGCTACCTCACATGTCGGTCTCGCTCAGTGTTGTGCCTCGGTTGCATGAGAAGTTACTGTAAAATCAGTTGTAGCTGCAGCATGAGCACGGCAGGGCTGGGCAACGTGCCCAGCGGCAGGAAAAACAAGGTGATGTGGAAGGCTAGAGCTGGCTGAAGGAGGGAGAGCTGAAATTACCCTGTGTTAATGCAACCTTGTGGAGGATAATTTTGAACTTCTTAGAGCCAACGCTCATGCTGATGTTTCAGATTTGCTCCTTTCAGGTTTTACAGGGCAAAGTTGCAGTGTTAAGTTTGACTTTGCCTAGCAATGAAAGAAGGTGTGGTAAAAATACCAGTTAAATACCATTTCCCTTCAGAGCTAAGATAAGTGGATTGGAAATGTGGGCTGTGCTGGTTTCCCAATGTGTCGTGGTCAGTGGTCGCTAAGGGAGAATATTTTATTGATGTCATTGGGTTGTTGATACCCGTGAGTGAAAAGCGGGGGTGACCCTCGGTGGCCGTGCAGGACACGGTGCCTCCGTCCGCACGTCTCTGCGGTCCCTGTGGCCCCCTGATGGCCGGGCCCGGTGCTCAGGCTGGGTCCCCAGCGCTTCCCAGGGCCGTTTCAGCTGCGAGAACGGGACTGGTTGGTGTGTGTTTCGCTTTAGTCGTTTGCAAGTTTGCAGTTGGCTGTTAGAAGGTTGTTCTGGGGACTTTTTTTTAATCCTACTGCAGATTCAAACTGATGACCTGCAGGTGAAAGTGCATCCCTTCGATATCTAATTCCAAACTATTTCTGCTTGCGCTAGGGAGATGATTAGTAATAACTAACAGGTTGCAAATATGTGGGTAGGTGTTTTATTGTTTTTTTTTTTTTAATGCCACTCTTGCTTAGCCCGTATTTGTTAGATATGGAGATGAGTTTTCCAATGGAAAAAACACAAGCAGCAGCAATCACAGCATCATTATCTCTGGTGTATTTATAGCTGCAGATTGCAAACATGCACCCGGCTACAGGTGGCCTCTGGTAATTTGAAAGGAAGACAAGTACAGCTGGTGAACCTTTTCCCCTGGCGCTCTGCCCCTGTTTTCCGGATCGTAAGATCCTGGAAACCAAGGGATACTTCTCATTTACTGTTTTGTTTGTATCAGCGTTGATAAAGCAAGATGAAAGTGTTGCTATATTACATTATGTCAAAACATCTTCGTTGATAAGCAAACACTATATGAGCATGGGTCTGGAAAGCACAGTGAGAAGTCTGTGGGTTCATACCTGCATGTGTAAGTTGTTGGAGGGGGAAAAAGAAATATTATTTTTGCAAGAAGGCTGATTAAAAAATCTTTATGCAACAATTCTTTCTCCGTTGGAAGTAACTGAAATACACCAGAATTATGTAATTGCTTTAATTTTGGCTAAAGGGGGTCATTTGGAATGAAGAGGGCTTGTTCCTTGTCTCAATTAGAAATTGGCTAGATTGGAGAGAGCGCTGTCATTAGAAGAAATTGAGACCTCTTTAAAACCTGATTTGTAGTGCTAGGAATGGCCCTCAGTTCGAGGGGAACTCCTGTATGGCAGTCTGGCCGCATGGCACTGTGCTGCAAGTGTACTTTGGTTCTTCAAAGTACGGCAGAAATCCTTGATCCCTTGTTATAGTGGATCATTAAAACCACCCCACAGCAAAAACACCGGGTAGAGTTACCTGTTCCTTTTAGGAACAGTGGGAATAAATTGTATTTCAAGGCGCAGAATTCCACACAGGAAACTGCAAAGAATAACTTATTGGAACAGGTTCGCGTTGGAGGTTCTTTGGATTATGGGAGAAGAGCTCTGTTTAAATACTTGTATTAACACAGTTGTCTGACTTCTGACCCGTTTTATGACAGCAAGTTTTCGAAGATATTGTGACTGTGTGTGCATAAATGGAACATTATGTTTGCTTAATTGTATGTATGTGAATAGTATGGTTGCTAGGAAGTTAATACGTTCTATCCTTAAATACTTGCAAATTATCTTTGAGAAAATATATTGTGGGTTCTTTTGATTTGCCTTATGATTTAAGGAGCCTCTAGGGTCTGCTTGCATCACAATTTATAGCTTTTCCCTATAGCCATGAGAGCTAAAAATATTCCTCGTCTTCCCTAGCGAAAGTCAAGTCTCTAATGCCTGAATAGAGAAGCAGAAGCTCCAGCAAAAGGAAAAAAGAAAGAAAAAAGGAACCCTACAACTGTATGGTTTTAACAAATGTGTTATAAATTAGAATATGCTGAGAAAAAATATGTGAAACTGTGATCTGGAATATGCCCACTTTCTGGTCTGCTTTTTTCTTTTGAACGAGCACCATTCGTGTTTTGGTAGATCAGGAAGCAAGTTGCAGACTTTGCAGTTTGGCAGAATCATGTTTTGCAGTAAGGAAGAATTGAACTACTGTGCTTTAGTGTGCTGTTCCGCTGTGCTCTCACGTTTCAGAGCCTGGGAACTGATTTACTGATTTGATTTTCTGGGACATCTGGGGATAATAACAATAACACTGCATAAGCATTATTTAAAAAATACAATAATACGCTCTTATTGCTTCTTTTTTCTTGCAGGCCAGCCCTGAAGTTCACACACAAAATACCATCATTTATTTAAGTTTAGTCTCATCCAATTTTAGACAATGGAAATCAATACTTCGTGCAGATATCAGTCGCTAGGTGGGAGCAAGCAGTGAAGTGGCACTGTTATAAAGAACAGACTGTAGATATTGAGAGAAAATACACACGTGTATGAATTCTATGTAGGCTCCTCTTCTGTCTTTCGAGATCTTTCAGTACACCATGGAAACGTGTGCTTTTTATTGATACCACTCTTAGTGTGTGTCCACCATATAAAATATATATGTAGTTTGCAGTCATAAAATTTAAATAGAAAATGAACTCTTATGAAATCCAGCACCTTTTTTTATGCTGAAATGTGGAGCTCTATGCACTTTAAGCCTGTAAAACAGTCAATGAATACTGTTTTTTTTTTTTTCCTTTTCAGATATGTGTCACAAAGATGTCTACACGGAACTGCCAGGGAATGGATTCAGTGATCAAACCTCTGGATACAATTCCTGAGGATAAAAAAGTTAGGGTTCAGAGGACACAGAGTAGCTTTGATCCATTTGAGAAGCCAACTAATCAGGTGAAGAGGGTTCATTCGGAGAACAATGCCTGCATCAACTTCAAAACGTCGTCTGCAGGGAAGGAATCACCCAAAGTTAGACGGCATTCCAGCCCCAGCTCCGTAAGTTCATAACACCTCTGTGCCTGTACTAGATCATGGAATAAACAGCACTGAATACATGTTTTCTCCCTTACGAAGGAACTGAGTACTTAAAGCAAGAAGTTTATGCCTGCTACTAAAAGTGTTTTACATATATATTTGTAGTGTTTTGTTGTAAGATACAAAGTATGTGTGGGTATACATATATACACACATACATCTGTGTATATAAAATATGAAAATCAAACTTGAAAAAGGAATATACTCTGAGATTCTTCTGGGATAGTAGCTAGTGTATCTCATAAGCATTTTGCAGTCTTGTATCTCTTAAGGCATTGCAGCTTCTACATGTCTATGATGCTTGTTTTGCAGAGGATTGCTTATTTTTGAGGGGGAAATTTAGGAAACCACGCGACTTCCTCCTTCAATTTTTAGATTTAAATTTTAGAGAAACTTCAATACAAATAACATTTGACAGATTTTATTTACATTTTAAAATTCTTTCAGAAATAAAATAGTAAAAATGTCGAGTTTTTTATCCTGGCAGAATTGGTGTGTGCACGTGTGTGTGTACACAAAATCAACTGAGAAGGGATTAGTGATACATTACCATTTTTGTTTTTTTTTTCTTTAGTATATTGAAAAAAAGATAAAATGTCATAGCTTTTATGAATAAAGCCCAGACAGATTTTCCCCAAGAGACCTTCAAAGTTATTGAAAAACTATTTCTGTTATGCTTTGGCAGGAAAAATCCATAATAATGTGACCTTTGAGTCGAAGATTACAGATCTAAGCAGAATGCATATAATACTTTAGATCTTACTTGGCATGAAAATGACTTAAAAGGTTGATTGTCTTTTCCTCCCACTTTGTCCCCCCCATCTTGTGGACATCATCTGTCCCCTGTTCAGAAGTTTGACTGAATTCTGTCCAACCATTAAAAAGAAATGCTAGAAATTTGTTTTCTGTAGATGAGCTTTGTTTAACCCATGTGAACTAACAGATAAGATGTCATGCCTCTAAGGGACTGTCCTCTGTAGAAAAGGTTGCATTTTAAAATCTAATCATCTGTAGCAAAAATAAATTTGCTTTTCCATCATCACGTCATGTTATATATTTGCTGCCAAAGATGTCTCCTGCATGTTCCAGATCAATCCATAACGAGTTCTGTGGGAATGGTGAACAGCTAGAAAGCCATTGCAATCCCCAAGGCAGGGGTGGTTTTTCTTGGGTTGTTTTTGAGGAAGTTGCTTGGTGCCGGCACTTCAGCCCCTGTATATTCACTGCTCTCCATGTTTTTCAGACCATGACTATTTATTTTCGTATTAACATGTTCTAAAATATAACATGGGTCTTTATAGAAGATGAAAAGCTTGATACAAGCCTGATGGTGTCTGATACAATTCGCACCTTTTTATTTTTTATTTTTTACTTGCGTGTGATGCCTGTTTATTATTTGGCACCACAATTGTTAATTTAAATTAATTTACTATTTAAGTTCTTTATTTTTTTCCTTTGTGGCATTAGCTCATTTCCCATTGCTGCTGTTTTTGTCTTGTTCCCCTTAGAAACTATTACTGATTTCAGTGAATGCTTCACATTCTTCTTTCTGTTAAAGCTGGAAGCTTTTGTTTGCTTTTGTTTGCAAAATTTCAAAGAAGACTTATTTTGACACCTTTACCCAAAGTCTTGCTCCTCTTTCCCAGAGGGCCCATGCAGTCTCCAAAGATCCCTGTGTTTTCCCATGTAAATGATGTTATATGTAATATGTATATAATGCCTTCTTGTCTTGCAGGCGGATGGCTAGAGCCCTAGCTAAGCAAGCAGCTTTGCTGATCTTCTGTTATGCAGAGTTGCACAGAATTGGTGGGGGCTTCTCCTGCGTTGGAGTAGATGCATAGGAATTTCCTGAGTTCTGATTTTTTTAGCTTCTTGTAGTTCTGCCTGGTTTACAGGGCTCTGATCTGTGAAGTGGCCTCTTTCTCGCTGTTGCACGGCAGCGTGAGTCATTCCTTACTGTTGCTCACAAACTGTGCTCATAAAAACTCCCAAGGCAAAATAATTCATGGTATAGCGATGGTGCCCATGTCAATGGAAGAGAAGGGAAGTAACTTCAGCAAAGGACAGTGGTGGCTTCCGTGCTGGTCATGCGGTCCCCATGGTCTGGCCATACGCTCCGACGTCCGTGTCGGAGAGGCCATCGAGCCAGCTCAGCGTTTCCCCAGCGCTGAATGTGGTGCCTCAAGCGCATGTCCTTGAGTGTCTGTCTGTGCAGTTGGCGGCAGGAATTCACCATTCTCCAGTTTTGAATTATACATGGTTGACCAAGGGATTTTGGTTTCATTTGGTTTCATTTTCTTCTAGTGCTGATGTTGGGTAGCAGATACGCTTGCTACTTTCTCTTTTCCTTATTATGTATTTTCCTCTGGAGCTGCCTCGTATGCCCCAGGATTGAACTGTACCTTAGTTCTCTGGAGAACCCCTCTGGGGCAGATGATACCAATCTGAACTGGCATTTCACTTTCTGCAAATACCCTGCTGAGGATGTTGTGCCCTCTGGGTTGTAGTGGCTACAGTTACACTGTTGTGTTTCCAATCTGGCTGTGCTTTCTGTATGCTTTTTAAAATACTCTAGTAGATGAACGCTACGTGCAATCTTCACTTTCCCCACTTCATTAGTAGAGGTGTGGAAACTGGAAGCGGCTTCCTTCGAGGCTCAAGGTGCCTCCTGAAGGACTGTCTTTAGATGATCTAGGCCTAGGGTACTCGGTTCTGTTTAGAGTAGGGTCAGACGCTTGCTGGCTGCCTGGCAGTTCCCAGCTTCCATGTGTGAGGATCACCAAGGAATATGTTGTCCGTTTTGTGTTGTCTGAAGCTTGTGATGTCAATGGGTAAGAGCTCCGCTCCTTGAGGGAGAGAGAGGCCCAGCGAAGAAGTCTGGGGGAGCTGGAGCTCGGTGTTCCTGCCCACACACTGTCGTTCAGGAAATGAATGGTTCGCTCTTGAACATGAAGTAAATTTCTGCAGCTAATGTCACACCTCTTCACAACCCTGCAGCAATTGGCGTTGTTCATTAGTGCCAGAGCACAGAGAAGTGAGCATGCTGTCCTTACAAAAAAAGGAAAAAGAAGTTTAATGTTTAAAGTCATTCTACCTGATAGTTCAATAGTCATTGTGTACAACAGTGACACTGCATTTTATTTTCTTGTTTTTTTTTCTTTTTTTCTTTAAAAAGAAAGAAAATATCTATGAATGACTTCAAAACTCTTTGATTGAAATTGAATGTTACTCCTTAATA